TACATATCAGAGTGTATGCTTGAACACAGATATAAACAGAGTAGCCTTTCAAATCAATTGTGTCAAGGGACACAGTTCACTTTTTAGAATACTAAAATCCTGCAAAAGGCCTGTGGGCCTTTTGCAGTTTTTTAAAAATATTCTTAGGAAGAGGTGGATTTTGGGGATACTTTTCATTCCATTTGCATGCTTCACATGCTATTTAGCTTTTTACTTTTGTACTGAACATGCTGCAAGATCACTTTGTAGTCCATCTCAAAGGATGGGGTTTTTGAGCTTCAGAGAGACGCAAGACTTTCAACTGCGTAAAGAACCCTTCAGCAAAAGGGAGATATTTTTCAAAATCAAAAAAGGCTTTTCATGCTCCAAAACCATGTCTACAGGAGGTGGGAAACACACCAGACTCCAGTGACCTCGTCTCCTTTAACCTGTTCTTTTTTTCTTAAACATATGACATCCATTATCTACTGACTGCACGTGTGTTACTAAATTCTCATGTCAGTGATATGACAATTCATTATCTAATAATGAGGTGACTAAAAATGAGCTGCTGGCATGGGGAAGTAGTCAACGCATGACCCATTAAAATGGCTTTTCTTCAACTTTCAGTCTGCACTGAGGCAAGGGGAACTATTAGGCAGCTGTCAGGATCACCATTGTGCCGGTGGGACTGTGGAGGGCATGGATCTCACTGTCATGTGTGCAGTTGTGCCAATGTCTTGGAAACAAAATCTTGGAAACAAGTAATTACAGAAATCAGTATACTTACAGGTAAGAATGTGATCCTGGACACTACACTATGTATTTTGTCTATTACCGATAAAGGCACTGCAGTTAATCGTATATATTCTGGAAGTTACTTGATTAGAAATCACTCAGGGCTGAAAAGAATATTTATATTATACCTTACATCAGTGTTTCCCAACCTTTTCCTGACTGTGATCCCCTTCCGACCTTGTTTCCTTCCTGTGCCCCCCCCATGGGTGTAGCCAAGGGGGGCAGCTGCCCCCCAGTAAGTAAAAATCAATACAAATCTGAGGTTCTGACCCCCCCCCCCAAACAAAAGCCTGCTGCCCTAACAAAAATCCCGGCTATGTCCATACGCCCCTTTCTACCAGCAGAATGGTAGCTATTTAAATGATTTGTTTTTAAATGGAACATGTTTTATCTGTTACTTATACAATTTATACAAAATACAAATACATAAAATAATAAGAGCATAATGAAATATTGTTGAATCAGAAGAACATAGAATCACAGAGCTGTAAGGGACCTCAAGGGTCATCTTTCTAGTGCAACCCCCTGCAATGTAGGAAACTCAGCTAAAGCATCTATGACAGATGGTCATTCAGTCTCTGCTTAAAAACCTCCAAGGAAGGAGAGTCCAGAACCTCCCAAGGGAGCTCCATCTTCCATGTATTATAAAAAGTAAACACTTATTTGACCCCAGTTATCTGATGCAGAGGGGGAAAGCTACAGAAGCAGTCCAAAAGGTGCGCAGGGAGTTCAGTATATATGTGAGAATTTTAAAAAGCAAGCGGTTCTTACTGACCTGGTGCAAAAAGATCTTGTCATCCAGAGGATTCCTGGCTGCCTAGATAAAATATTATAGCCCCACACATCCTTACCTGGGAGTAAGGCCCACTGAACTCAGTGCGGCTTTCTTCTGAGTAGACACTTAGTTATTTGCTAGATGCAAGTCAGCAGCACCAGATGACCCCACTCGGCTAGGCCTGGGGTGGATTTCATTCCATACCTTGCAGAGCTGGGCCAATCTGCCAATGGGCCCTGCGCCCCTCGGCAACATCCGAAGACCCTGATCCACTAGGCGCTGGGGTGGACTGCACTCTGAGCCTTGCAAAGTCTAGCCCAGGCTGCCCCTGGGCCCAGCACTGGTGGCAGCAACAGCGAGCTACGGCTCGCCCAGCCCTACCCATTGCCATCCCACCACTGCACTTTCCTGACCTGGGGGATCGCAGGCTCAACCGGTCAAAACGTGAGCCTCAGCGATCGCCCTCTCCCATCAGAAACTGTTGCAAGAAAACGCACGTGGCAAAAAGTGTTAGGCCCTGGTGGACTGCCTCCTTACCCACTTGTGATTGGTCAAGCCGATAGCCAGCCAATCAGGATTTATTTTAAAAATGATTTCTCCCCCCTTCACTTCTCACTTCCCTTACCAATTTAATAATATTGCCTATTGACCTTTTTTTGGGTGTGGTGGGTGGAAGCTTTTGTTTGATTTATAAATTCTGAAGTCATATTGTTAGCAATATTCTCATATTCAGCAGATGGACAAATGGACTGGTTCACACATGTCACTAAGCCATGTTTTGTTCATCAAGCTACTATGAGTTGTTGTCCCACAGACAAACTAACCAACTATGGCTTGATTCTCAAATGAAAATGGAAAAAAAACAACCTGGCACAAAGGGAAATGCACACAGTCTAAAGAACATAGTGCAATTTTTAAAGCAGTGAGTTGTTAATAGTCCAAATAGCAACAACAAGAAGTGGAGCAAGAAGCAATTAGTTCCACTTGTAATATAACACTGTGCCACAAATTAACAGGATTCGAATGAGCTGCACTAAATACTAAAAGGTAGATCTCTATAGGTAGTAGTGAAATTCAACTAGTAAGTATTAGACTGAAATATGGACACTGCTTGTGTTTAAGCTGAAATCCACACAATATGCATCTATCTGAGAGAATCCATTTTGCTAATTTAGTCCCCATTAAATAATTCAATCAAGACTCTTACAAGCTATTTTATCTGCATACTGGCCTGACTTCTCTTCAGATTTTAAGTCCCCTTGTAATTTACTTTCCAAATAGTGGTGCATAATGGTGTCTGCTGCCCAGGGGCAGAAGAAATTTGCTGCTTCCATTTGTCCACTCCTTCTTCCAGATCCCAGCTCTTCAAAACGTGCAGGGTCTCTTGACTTAACCCCAACCACACACACTGTTAAGTCACAGTGGACTCCACAGGGCTGCCTGGAAAGAAAGGAGGGTGGGCATGACTTGTGCCCAAGCAACCACCAAGCAGGAGGTGGAGAAAGTGAAAGCACACCCAGGATGCCAATCATGTCAGCAGGCTTGCGGCCACAAGAGGTCAGTCAGTGCTGAATTTTGATGCTCTGTCACCCGCTCCCCAGGCTTCTTCCTCTCTCTCTTGGTAAGGCCACTGCATAGGTAACAAACAGACCTCAAGGTGATGGCGTGGCCGCCCATCATTGTCCTGTTCTGAAGCTCCAGAAGAGTCCAGGCAGCTCTGATGCATTGGCATGATTGAGCCAGGAGAATAATAATGGCCGAGGTGCAATTCTGGGTTGAGTGATGCTAAGCCTTGGAAGACTTTATCCCCTGCTCCTGGTTGTGTGAAGAGGGAACCCCCAGCCACAGATGTACCCTATTTAGGCAACTCTAATGTGCCATCAAATCTAATGCACATCCTAATTTTTGCAACGTAACGTAATTTGGCCAAAAAAGGTGCGCATGACATTTGAGTAAATATGGTATTTATGTGACAGCAAATCAGCTTGTTCCCTCCTCAGATTTGCCATTCTGGGCAACTGCCCCAGTTTGCTCTCCCATAAATATATTCCTATTTCAAATTGGTATATTCTTCTATCTACTTTCAAGTGGAGTAACTTTTTAATGTCATAGAAATGCTTACTTTTACAGATACCTTTGAACAAAATAATCCACTATACTGTGGCAGCACTGAGATTAAAAATCTCTCCTCCTCACTCTGTTGCAGTAGATTTAAAACTTTAATCCTTTTTTTCCACCAAGTGACTCCACAGTTCTATGGCACACCTGAATGCTAATCAGGAACCAGTCATTTAAATTTTAAAATAGGTCCTTTTGGGAACTGTTCATTTCATCAAACAAGTACAAGAAACTGGGCAAACCACTGGGGCCACGTACTGCAGAAACAGATATTCACCTTTCACTTACTTGAAACAAATTTCTATTTCTACAAAGGCACGGTGCCAACAGAGCTCTGAGTGTTTTCTGGCTTTTGTTACCAATATCCATGGGCTGTAGCCAATGCTAGGCACACTTGAGAGTAGACCCACTGGAATTAATGGATGTGACTTAGGTACATTCACTTCAATGTGCCTAGTCCAAGTATAACTTAGGTGGATACAACCCTTTATCAACAACAGACACTGCTTGGTAGATATATGCCTACACAGAATGTCTCAAAACGCACAAATTAATAGCTGCTGGAGTTTTATTTTACTGTTCATTTTAGCTTTACATCAATTTGCCTCCAAATGTTCAGACGAGGTAAAACATATTTACGTATTTAAAGTAAAGTAAAACCAGTTAAAAATAAAATGCATTGTCAAAAGGATCCCATCTCTGGGCTCCAACACTTAAATTTCTAGGCGAAGGAAGAGTGGTGTTTTAGGCATGGGTATTCTAGAAGCACCCACTTGTTGCTTTGCTGTTTCGGACCACTGATGGAATAGCAAACTCTGCTGTCCTACCTGGTAGACAGGTGGGCAGTCTCCTTTACCTGCCCAAATGGTGGTGGTGGCAAAACTTGAAAGAACATCAGACCTACCTACTCACAGGTTTATGTTAGGACAAATACAGAATTTTAGTATGCAAATAATTAATCTGCAAATAGTTTATTCAGCTGCGAATAACGGCAGGCTTATTTCGACTTGTATTTCATTATACCTGTAACCCACAAACCACAGAAGCCACTCTACATTACACAGCTAACCTTGATTTTGCACTGTTTACAAACATTCTTATTTACATTATAAAAACAATAAAAAGGGGAGTCAATACTAAATTATCTAAAGGAACGGTGCTGCAGCATCTAATTACTCCGAACTCTACTAAAGGGCTAATATAATATGCTTTATGGAACAAAACATTAAATTATCTTTTCCTGTCGAAATAACACAATTTTATTTATAAACTGTTTACAACTTTTCTTTTGAACTATTTAAGGAGGGGGGATTGTTATGAGACATGGGATGGCCCATAGCTTAGAGGTAGAGCTCCTGCCTTGCATGCAGATGGCCTCAGGTTCAAATCTCAGCATCTCCAGAGAACCTGGAGAGCCATGGCCAGGCAGGGTAGACAATCCTGAGCTAGATGGGCCTCAAAAAGGTCTGACTCTGTATAAGGCAGCTTCCTAAGTCTGGAGTGAGCAAGGCTTAGGACAGCGAGCATCTATGAGACCACAAGTGAAGCAGCACCCCCAACAATGGCATGTGTTTTATTTATTTTTCCACTTGTTGAACATGGGTCTTGCTCAGAATTTTCATACAAATTCATGTACTACGTTTACCGTAAAATGCTCTGTTTTTTCCATGAGATTAGGACATATAACAATTAGAAGCCAGTGAGCACGAGTACACCAACCTCAGAGGCTTAAGCTTAGCTCTTCATATCAAAAAGTCCCCTCTCAAGAGTAGTAACTGGGGTGAGGGCAATAAAGGAATTTGTTCGCATGCAAGGAGGATAGAGGCAACCATATTATGCATCCATGTATGTCAGAGAAAAGCTCTGACTGACATAGCACTGTTTCAGGTGGGAGGGTGGGAGGAGACGCGAGGTTAAGTCCAGGAGCACTTAGAAACCATGGTTCATGACATTGATGGAAAGGTGAAATTACAATGAATCACCTAAGTGCACTAAGCATACCTAGGGAACTCAAGACACCATCCAAAGTCCAGTTAAGCATATGGCAGATTTCAAAGGAACAGCGAGTCTTGAAGATGATTAGACTCCCATAAGAATGTCTCTTTTGAGACCACCTCAACAGCCTTATTTGTCAAGATGTCACCAAATGAAACACACCGTATTCTTCTACGACGTGTCAGCTCAATTAAAAACATTCAAACATGTTACAATGGATTTTCGATGAACAATTCTTTCAAGCAAAGCCAAATCAATATGCTTACCGTATAAAGCTCATTAAGAACCCTCATTAAATCCTCATGAAGCTGGAATGCAATCTCTTTGCTCTGTAATTAAAAATAAATTATTAGGAAGAATCACTTAAAACTAGAACCAAATCAAGAGGGTTGGGGAGGTACTTTTTTTACTGAAGTTTTGCAGGGAACAAAATTTGAGCATACATACACACACACACAAGCTTTTTATGCCTCCTTGAGAAAGGGAGCGAAGTTGTTCTTCAGGCAGGTGTAAGGGAAGAGAATACATACCGGCTAGAAAGACAACTGAGCCAACAGTCTTCATTTTGCTACTCTGCGGCAAATAAATCTACTGCATACAGCCCTGCAAAACAGCCCAGTGTTGGCAGCACTGGCTCAACAATGGGCTGCCATTTCTTTTTGCTGAAGCTGATTCAGGGTGAAGGCATTGAGGCTTTGTTTGGGCCCTGGTGACATCACCCTGTAGGCTAAACCTGATTGCCTATGTGGCACTGTGATACCATTACATCTCTAAGCAATCTCTAAAAAGGCTGCAATCACTCAGGGGAGCCAGGAACACTAGAGGAAAAAAACTAAGCAGCAACCCAGAGAGGAATCAGTAGCTGAGCTGTCAACAGTCATAGCAAGGGAGAAGATGCTGCCCCCCCCCAAAAAAATTTTTTTTGGAAATGTTTCAGGATGAAAATGTGGTGCAGGCAGTGCTTTTTCCCCAGGTGTGGCACTGACTTCATTGTGAGTACCGACACCTTTCTAGAAAAAAAAGCACTGGGTGCAACCATACTTCAAACCCAATCAAAATTTGCTCTTGTGCCTTTTTATACCATTCACTCATATTATCTGAAGGGCTGTGCAGTGGAGAGCTTGGCATTTTCTCTTGACAGCATTTCAGTTTCCAAATATTAATGATTCAGTGATGCATTGGCAGACAACAGCTGGAGAAAAAATGCTCTCACACAGCTGAACAGCATAATTAGAAGACAGGGGCCAAACTGAAGGGCTAAAGTTCAGGATGTAATAAGCCTTTTGAAAATTAAAAATACGCTGTATTAGACAGAATGATTGTGCATCTAACAGATTCACAGGTGATTCCATTTTATAGTCAAACCTGCTTTTATCTGTGAGTAGTACTAAATGTTAGCCAATGGAACTCACACACTATCTACTAAGATGGTAGTGGGCTCCCTGCAGTTTTGTGTAAACTACTTAAAATAAGGACAAAACCTAGACTGCTTGTGTTCCATCAGCCTCAGGATCTCTTATCCGTCAGAATTAACCATTCTGTGTTATGTGATCCTGAGAAGTCACTCTTGCCAAAGAACATAGGGATACCTTGATGGACCAGACCAAGGCCTACCAAACCTGGCATCTTTAACAAGACTCTCAGATTTGTGTAGTCAACTAGAAACTGGCCAGTGCTCCACTAGTGGACCCTGGTCTACTTTCTAACCACCTTCATATTAAGGTAAAGGACCCCTGGACAGTTAACTCCAGTCAAAGGCAACTATGGGGTTGCGGCTCTCATCTCGCTTTCAGGACGAGGGAACTGGCATTTGTCCACAGACAAGGTCATATGGCCAGCAAGACTAAACCACTTCTGGCGCAACGGAACACCGTGACTGAAACAAGAGCACACAGAAATGCCATTTACCTTCCCGCCACAGCGGTACCTGTTGATCTACTTGCACTGGCGTGCTTTCAAACTGCTAGGTTGGCAGAAGCTGGGACAGAGCAATGGGAGCTCACCCCGTCACAGGGATTTGAACCGCCCACCTTCTCATCGGCAAGCCCAAGAAGCTCAGTGGTTTAGACCACAGCGCCACCCGTGTCCCATCTTCATATTAAGGCCTAAAGCAATACATGTAACGCTTTCAAGAACGTAATGTTATTTATGATAAACATGTGCAGAATTGCATACTTGAGGTTTTTGACATGTGGGTGGCAGCAGGGGCACTTATGAACGCACCGCCCCCAACAACCCTGTGCACAGCATACTCCCCATAGTCTCTGTGTTGCTCCAGGAAGACCTACAGGCAGCTGCTATTTGCATCTGCTGGAAAACACAAATCCATGTCCCTGAGCACACCAGGGTGTCTACCTGCATTCAGGTGAAGGCGAATGCAAGTCCCCTGCTGATTTTCACTGTGCTATGTAGCATGACATTCACAAGGATGTTGGGGGGTGAGGCTTACATGTGGAATCCTGCCCCTGTCCGCACACAGAGCATTTGTGTGTTCAGGCAAATGCCTGAAAATGTAAACAAACTTGCTGATGACTTCTAGTTTAGCAAGTTGCACAAAGTGCTTAAGTTCTTTCGCCGAAGAATGCTGACTTTCAGGTCAGCAGCAGAGTGTTCTGAGAGTGTCCTGGAATCAGTGGAAGGGCATTTAAATCTCCTAGGACACTCTGCTGCTGCCTGAAAATACACCATTCTTCAACATTGTTCCTAAACCTGGCTCTCCATGATCTTAGAAATTAGCTGCTTTACAATCCTCTCACACTCTCCGCTCTCTAGTCTTGTTGCTGTGCCCCTCCACCACACTGCATAGAACTGCTTTTCCATCCGTACTGGCAGTTTTAAGTCAATTCAACATGCAGGGGCTAGCAGGGTCTAACTTATAAACGCTACATATTTTTGTGCTATTAATTGGAGACCCAGCTGTCACCTTATAAAGAATTAAACAATTTCTCACTCTCATTATCTCCACTTAATCTTTTGGAAACAAGCAATTCTCATTTGCATGTGCAATCAAATTAATGATTACATCTTTGATTGTGTGGGTTTCTCTATTTGCAGACTTGCAGCATGTACAAAGGTTAGAAAGGTTGCCGAGAAGCCTGGCTTGAGACCAGTGCCAAAGCATACAAAGAGGGGGCCAAAAGAAGCCGCCTGCATTATCCTGACTTTCAGTGTAATTCTCTCCTTTTTTAAGCTTTCATTCCTTTTTGCCCTAACTTTGCGTTTTTATACCTGTAGCCCAGAAACCTGCACCTATACTTTTTAGTACTTCCCACAGGCAAGCCAACTGATTTTACATTAAACTTGGTCCTGTTTTTTTAAAACAGAAATGGGCAGTATCCAATTATTAAATAGTTCCATTGTGCATATGTGGAGAACACCCAGCCCTCTGACATTTTTGTTCAAGGCCACTAAAAGTCTGCTGATCAAAATAGTTCAAACACCACAAAAAGTGCTTAGTAGACGAAAACATACTTGTAGGAACTATGACGACGTACATTTGTGCTGAAATTGTAGGATTTGGGGTTATATTTTATTGGTGTGCCATAGTCCATAGGGCTGTTGGCTACAGCTCCCTGCAGGATGTGTGCATGTAAGGAAATGACTGTTTTCCTTTGGCAAATATGTGACAGGACTCTATGAGGTACTCAGTGTGTTTTTAGAAAGAAAGAAAAACCTTGCTGATATAGAATGTCTACTTGTATTGATAATTTCACTAATGAATACATTTAAGGATTTAACAGAGATGACTCGTATTAAAACTTCATTGAAGGAGATTAAACCAATCTTCTTGTGTTAAATTAAGGCCACTATATTCTTCCTAATTAATTTTCCCAGAGTTTACACTATTTTATTAATCTGTTTTAATAATGTATTTATTTTAAAAAATATCTAGTAATAAAAAAAAATACACATTTCCTGTCAATACAGTAACTGGCTTCGTTTATTAATGCACTGAGGAGTTTGAGTGCAAACTGATACTTGGTAAATTAAGTGGAATGACATTGCTTCTTAATCATGTCTACTCATAAGTAAGTCCTATTAAAATTCAACAGGTAAGTGGGGTAGGGCTGCAGTCTAAGATCTTCTGTCATTATAATACTAGAATGACCAGCTGGCACATTTCAGGGATGGGTGGAGCCTGATGGAGCTGGTCTTTCAGCAAATCTGATGGAGGGAGTCCTGCTTCCCATCTCTCCTACAGAAGTAGTCTGATGAAATTGCTGTCTCCAGCTTGCATGTGAGAAGAGAGGAAGCCCGAGATGCAAAGTAATGTTTATGTGTACCTTTCTGACGCTCTGCCTCCCTGCCTCTTTTGAACAAGGGCACCAGGCAGCAGCCATGCCACCTGCACAGTGACCCACTCCCAGTGTCTTCCAACACCCTGGTCACCCTCAGTGAGCAAAGCA